TTACCAATGACCGACATTTCTCTTGGCAACCAATCTATCATCCGTTTTTGGTCCACCAGTGATTAAGATATCTTTGTGTGCCAAATTAGCCACTACCGTTGACTTACCAATGACCGACATTTCTCTTGGCAACCAATCTATCATCCGTTTTTGGTCCACCAATGATTAAGATATCTTTGTGTGCCAAATTAGCCACTACCGTTGACTTACCAATGACCGACATTTCTCTTGGCAACCAATCTATCATCCGTTTTTGGACCACCAATGATTAAGATACTTCTGCGAGCCAAAGTAGCAAATACTGTTGAGTTACCTATGACCCGATAAAGGAAACACATTTTCGTGATTTTAAATGATAAACTGTTAGAATATTATGGATAAATCGTCGTAAGTATTAGAATAATATTTATCTTTCAAGATCTTATGGAAATTATCACCGTCCCACCAAACATGCTCGCCCTTTCAGCCGTGGGGGCGTTATAATGTGACGGTCAATCCCACTGTTAGTTGGTAAAATAGTAGCCCAAGAATTGGCTGGGATGACTAGCTGCCTTTCCTCTTTCACTGCTAAATTACGGACGGCTAGCGCAGATAGCTCTAGTGTACCTTTGCGCGAAATTCAAAACAAACAAACAAACTTATGGAAATTAGGCTTAAGAATACTTCCAGCATATAATTTAAACACCTATTCTATTTTTTTAGGTTTTTACAAAGAACAATGAATAAAGATATAAATCAGAGTACTTTGCATCGAAATGTTAGGGATAGTTTGGAAATATTGTTTTCTCCAATTTCTTTACTATCTTCATATTCTTTACATGCGAGAGTTTGTTTGTTTGTTTTTGAATTTCGCACAAAGCTACACGAGGGCTATCTGCGTTAGCCGTCCCTAATTTAGCAGTGTAAGACTAGAGGGAAGGCAGCTAGTCATCACCACCCACCGCCAAATCTTGGGCTACTCTTTTACCAACGAATAGTGGGATTGACCGTCACATTATAACACCCCCACGGCTGAAAGGGCGAGCATGTTTGGTGTGACGGGGATTCGAACCCGCGACCCGCAGATTGCGAGTCGAGTGCCCTAACCACCTGGCCATGCCGGGCCGCACATGCGAGAGTAAAACACAGTGTAATTCTCGGGCAACCAATTCTAGCAAAGCAGCATTTTATTAATGATTATTAATATAATTAAACATTATTTTTACTGTTTAATAATATGTCAACTGTTTGCCAACTTCTTTATTAAAAACACTAGAACTAGTAAGTCATATTATTAGTTTCAACTGTTGTCCAACGTCTTTATTAAAGACATGCGAATTAATAATTTATTTTATGTTTCAAATGAGCCGAGCGTAGCCTAATGTTTCATGTCGTGCTGCAGATCAGAATATCTATGGTTTAAGCTATGATATGCCCCTGAACACACTCTGCTATTTCACCAGTGAGGGCCTTATAACTGTGTAGGTGGTGCTGATTGGTTGCCTTCCCTCTGGTCAGCAGTTCTAACTTAGGAATGACTGTGCTTTAATCTTAATGTTACTGACCTGGCCGTGTGTTGCATAAGATGCCGTTCATGTCGAAAATATCAAATATCTGTTTCAACTGTTAACTGATAGCCAACTTTTCTGTTAAATAAATCGGAAACAATAACAGTTATGTTTTCATGTTTCAACTCTTAACTTACTATCTAACGTCTTTATTAAAAACGGGAACTGATGACAGATATTTTCATTTCAGCTTTTAACTGGTAGCCAACTTTATTAAAAACACTGGAACCAATGACAGTTATTCTTATTTAAAATGTTAACTGGTAGCCAACTTCTTGATAAAAAACACTGAACTAATAACAGCTATTTCTTTCTGTTTCAACTATTAACTGGCAATCAACTTCTTTACTAAAAACAGTGGAACCAATAACAGTTATTTTTTAAACTGTTAACTGGTATCCAACTTCTTTATTAAAATACAAAATCAAATAATTTTTTCTGTTTCAACTATTACCTGGGAACTAACTTCTTTATTAAAGACACTGCGACCAATAACTTTTATTTATCATTTCATCTGCTAACCAACGTTTATTGTATTTAAAACACTAAAACTAATAAAGTTTTCGTTTCAGCTGTTAACTGATAGCCAACTTTTTTTATTGAAACGCTGGAGTTAACAATAGTCTTTTTTTTTCTGTTCCCCTACTTTGTAAGGAAATTCATTTCTTATCTGTTAAACATAGTAACACACATTACTAACTAAACACTTGTCACCGCTCGAACATCAACATGCATTTCAAATCTTACATTAATGTTACACCTGACAAAATATCTAGTTCTGTTGTAATCTACAAAACACATCATCTAACAACAAATTAAGATTCAATGCGGTATGCCAAAGTTATATTAGTATAAATGTATCTAGATATTTATATATAATCTTGACTATCAAGTTTTTATAGATATTGTATAAACGCACAAATATTTTGCCACTTTATGAAAGTGACATGCACAAAGAACACTCGCGTATTCAAAAGTTTTGTCTCAAACAATTTATACAAGAAATTTCGTATTAATTCTGTGGGAGCAAAATGTACGTTATCATACATGTCCTAGCTGTATAAAAGAAATAATGTAACTTACTAGCTATTCTATAAAAGTTACGATCAGCTACTACATTAATGAACTGATAAGATTTTCTTCTAAAGGAACAGCTACAGTTGTTACTCCATAAACGTAAGCAATAGCACTAAGACTTCACATGTTCATTTTAACAAGTGTACAAGTAACGAACAAAATACACGTTACAATCTATTTCTATCCAAAACGCGGTGTGTCAAAGTGTCAGTTAGTCTAAGTGAAAAGTGCAAATTACCAAGGGATTAAGAAGTAGATTACTATGACTTCTACCAAGGGTGTGATACGAAGCACTAAGGCATTAATATCATTACACACTGTTTATTATTCAGTTCTATTCTTAGTCACTAAGACACCTTGAAAGTCACTAGAAACTCATGGAAATAATACTTATATATTTATAATTTACAAAATTCGCCTTTTCTTCCTTCTCGATACTATTCAAGGGAATTGGTAGACTGCATAACAATTAACATTTGGTAGATATATAAGAAATTTCTTTTCAACCCTTATGAAATCTAACAAATAATAAGTACGGTTTTTAATGAGGAATGGTTATCTGTGAGGTTTAGTTCTAAATTATATCGTTAACAGTAAAATATTTCGACTTATTCCAATAGACCAGTGAAATGGCACACTATTCCTATTGTTAGAAACATTTTCATGAATCATTGTCCATCATTCCTAATCATGTAGTGGACAGTAATGAACCTATTCAAACACAATCCTTGTGATACAATCGTGCCATAACTTTTATTTTCAAAATGCGCCAAAATCTGCGCACATATCAAAATCTGTGGAATCGAGTCCACCAGTATCGTAAGCATCATCATTGATTCCAATCGACTCATGATAGATACCACTTTGGTTATTAGTAAAATTATGATCTCCGTTATTATACCATTGATTTCCAATGTCGTGACAACCACTAGCCCAGCCCCACTCTCCACACCAACCCAATCCTAAACCCCACCCCATGGTGGTTCCAAGAAATAAGCTCATGGCAAGATCATCATCGTTACAGCGATCTGAAGTGGAAACGTTGATGGTGGTGTCTGATTGCTGTTGAGATAAACCACTAGAGGGCAAGAACCTATTTCTGCTGCATCCTGAAATGTAGGAAAATATTGTGTTAATACTTTGTATTTGACATATAACAGTTCAGTAAAAACAATCTAGCCAATTCGTTAGTAAACATGACTACCAACTTTGTTGGAAAGTGTGGAAAGTCAAAAAGCAAATTCAATTTAACACTTTATAATAATAGTGCATGTACGCTATCTGGAAAAGTGGGGGAGGGGACGTGTCCCTTCTGGTGTATGTGTCAGGCGCCTACGTTGGTAAATGCGCAAAAAATACCACTGGAAATTGCACAAGTACTGAGTAATTCAGGGTGTCCAACGTAAAAAATGCTAATAGTGAATGTTAAGACTTCGAAAGTTCTCTTTGTAGGTAGTGAAAAAAGTTAAAGGTTAAAACTAGAGCAAAAGGAAATCGCTTGTATCATGGTCGTACAGATGCTTTGTATTACTGCTCATTTTTATGTTGGAAATACACACACACACATATATATATAACTTTTCCGGTTGTTTTTTTCTCTACTTTATTATTTTTAACCTCATACGAAGCAATACATGGTTGCGTATATATATAAGAATTTACGCACACACACATATATATAATGGAAAGAAACCGGCGTCAGGCGTCGTTCCGTTCCATGCATGCTAGTACACCATCAATGACAGTGTAGAAATAGAAAAAAAGCAGAATAGGGTAAACGACACAATCCAGTCAATCTTTCTCTATATATAGTCTCCAGTGATTCAGCAATAAGTCTTAAGCCTGTTACGTATTACAATTTACCCGGACTAGCCTCCAATTTATTAGGTAACGTATTATAATTTACCCGGACTAGCCTCCAATTTATTAGGTAACGTATTACAATTCACCCGGACTAGCCTCCAATTTATTAGGTAACGTATTATAATTTACCCGGACTAGCCTCCAATTTATTAGGTAACGTATTATAATTTACCCGGACTAGCCTCCAATTTAATAGGTAACGTATTATAATTTACCCGGACTAGCCTCCAATTTATTAGGTAACGTATTATAACTTCGAATAGCCTGAAACTGAGTTAAATGATAATTTAGATTTAGAAATTAAATAAATGTCGATATGTATCTAATTTATGATACTTGCCAAAAAGATTGATACTCATAGTTTTTTTAAATACAAATATATTTTAATATACAAACAATAACACAATTTACAATAACAGTTATTACAAACAATGATCTATGTACAAAAGTTTTACAAACTTACAAACAATATTTAGTCCTCTATCTGGTCTGGAACTTCCTTGATATCGTATCGAGGGTTCACGATGAGCAAATATATTTTGAGTAGATGTAGATACAATTCACTTAACAAGAAGCTAGCTAGCTCTTTTGCTTTGGTCTTCGCCGGCTACACGTCGATTTATCCACCACTGAAGTTATATAACGTTTTCGTAAAAATACTAATGTCCGACGCGAATCCGCTGAAGTTAAATGGTTTGTAATATTCGAACTTTGTAAAGGTTCCTGGTCAAATATCTGAAGTTCCCAATTATTAAGCGTAATAATAATCACAGTTATAGCTTCCGAGGTTTATAGTACACCAACTATAGCAAACCAATAATATATATTGCCTTTTGGCGTGTCGCGTTGGTGGAAGGAGAGTTTCACGAAATTTCAGCTTACGCAACAATATAAACTACACACCGATTTTACGTACACACATATGTATTGTTGATTCTTACACTCAAGAATATTCTACAATTTTAGTGAATAGGTGGAAATTTCGTAATACAAATTTGACAGTATAAGTTATGTACATTTCTAAATATAATTTTAACTTAAATAAACATCGATATTAAAAATAGATATATGATAATAAATCCGTCACAAGGCTTATAACGCTAAAAACTGGGTTTCGATACCCGTGGTGGACACAACACAGCCTATTGTATATCTTTCTACTTAACAACAAAAAATGCTGCTCCGGTGAGCCAATGCTAAAGGGTGGGGGTCGATTCCCCGAAATATACAACAGATAACCCAATTTGGCTTTGTGATAAAACAAAATAAAAAAAAGAACTACTAAAAACAAAATAACTCTCTTTCTACACATCTATGTACCTATATATATATATGTATCACTATCAATTTAAATTCCATAATGTGCCGCATTAAGCGTTTTAAGTAGCTTACGCTACTACATAAACATTTTCAAGAATTGTGTAGACTATCTAATAAAAAGACATCCAAACAACAATAATCTTAGCCATCAGTAATCGTTGTTCCCCTGTGGACCAGCATTAAGTTTTCGGAGTTACAATGATAGAATCTGGGGCTCGATTCCCTGCAATGGACGGAGCGCAAATAGCCCATCGGGTAGCTTTGCGCAATAAATTCCCCACACAAAATAAACACAAACAGAAGTCGTTAATGTCAGACTGAAAGTGTAAGAATTTACGACTACTATCTGATAGTAAATGTAGACACTATTGGCTATCCAAATAAACAAGCGAAAAATACTTTATATAGTAGAAATTGTTGACGTCAGAAAAGAAAAGGATTTTGACTAGAAGCTAAATATTCTCAAAAGATATTGACCTTCTGATTGAAAGTCTAGGTATCTTCCCACAGTCTCTTTTGGGATTCTTAGTGAATACTAGATCATATACTCGATAGAAGTTACTGACATTTTGACTGGAATCTAAAAAAATCTACCCAATAGACTCTCCAGCTTCTGACTTGAATCTAAATAATCTACCTAATAGACTCTTCCAGCTTCCGTCCTGAATCTAAATAATCTACCTAATAGACTTTTCCAGCTTCCGTCCTGGATGTAAAGAATCTACCCAATAGATTCTTCCAGCTTCCGACCGGAATGTAAAGAATCTACCTAATAGACTCTTCCAGCTTCCGTCCTGAATGTAAGTAATCTACCTAATAGACTCTTCCAGCTTCTGTCCTGGATGTAAAGAATCTACCCAATAGATTCTTCCAGCTTCCGACTGAAATCTAAAGAATCTACTTAATAGACTCTTCCAGCTTCTGACCTGAATCTAAATAATCTACCCAATAGACTCTTCCAGCTTCCGTCCTGAATGTAAAGAATCTACCCAATAGACTCTTCCAGCTTCTGACTTGAATCTAAATAATCTACCTAATAGACTCTTTCAGCTTCCGTCCTGGATGTAAAGAATCTACCCAATAGATTCTTCCAGCTTCCGTCCTGAATGTAAAGAATCTACCCAATAGACTCTTCCAGCTTCCGACCTGAATCTAAATAATCTACCTAATAGACTCTTCCAGCTTCCGTCCTGGATGTAAAGAATCTACTTAATAGACTCTTCCAGCTGGATTTTTAAGAATAAAGCAAATCCGAATGAGAAACTATAAAACAACACAGTAATATATATATATGTCTAAATCTGAGCTTAAAAGTTTCCCCTATATTGTCTGGAACTTGCAACACAGATACGTTTCACTATCAGTATAAGACTGAAACTGGTAACACTGATATGTTTCACTATCAGTATAAGACTGAAACTGGTAACACTGATATGTTTCACTATCAGTATAAGACTGAAACTGGTAACACAGATACGTTTCACTATCAGTATAAGACTGAAACAGGTTTCACCATTACTTGCTATCAAGTAATTTAGGCCACCAGCCAAGATTGGTCAGACATAGAGTAATGAGTATGAAATACATGTGTCTCAACAGGTCTGTGAAGCCAGTTCGTCACTGAACACTGCGAAGGTAGAAAATTTGGTGACATTTGTCGGAATTATCCAATTTGTGCTGGCGTTCATACCGGTATAAAGCAAAAAGTCAGAATCAATACGTTGTAGAAAGAAACCAATTCTTTTTTGGTGAAAATCATTCCCAAAACATTTAGAGATCCTTGCTGCCATCGAAAAGTTTTTAGTTGGGTATCAAAAGTGTACTTTGTAATTAAATAAGATTTCATGTCTTATTCATTATTGTTTATAACTACACCTTAATAATTAATTATTCATTTTAGTTTTACAATACACTGTAACAACTAATTAATCGTTTTGGTTTACCTATACGTCGCAAGAATGAATTTAAACTGTTTTAGATAATTCAATAAAAACTATAAGATTTTAAGTGTTTAATTTTGGATTTTTACTTCCAGAAGACACTATTTTTTCACTGATGTTTATTTATATAAATATTTAACTAACACTTTAGCATAAACCGCGAATCATCTGAAACCAGACCTCCTTGCACAATATTCATGAAGAAAGTTTCTTACCAACGAGATTTTCTCACAATTATAATCTATGAAAACTAACAAACAATTATGCTTTGGCAATCAAGTTCTAAAAACTACCTTTTATAACTTTATTGGTAAAATGTCTAAATCCCTCCAGTATGCACTACAAGTTCTGAAAAATTACAAGCCATCGGGTTGGTAACTATTGGCGTACATCTTGACTAAGGTACTAGTTTATTGTAATCAAAGCTCTGACAATAGTTACATGGAAATCTTGAAAAATCGGCCTAATTGTATGTAAGTTATTAGATGAAATGTATGAACATTTCAGAACGTTTCAGAAGTATTAAAGTACATTAGGAAGGCCACAGCTTATTAAAACAACAACATTTCGGAGCTTAAAACACTGAAGTAGCTCTTGAAATTTGATTCATTTCGGAAATTACTGAATAACATTTTTTATTTGAAAGTATATTAGCAACTATTTTTTAGAATCTGAAGTGTCCAAAACTTTGTAGCTATGTAAATAATATGCCAACTTAGTAACAACAGATGCTGCTATGAAACAATATGCCAACTTAGTAACAACAGATACTGTTATGTAAACAATATGCCAACTTAGTAACAACAGATGCTGTTATGTAAACAATATGCCAACTTAGTAACAACAGATGCTGCTATGTAAACAATATGCCAACTTAGTAACAACAGATGCTGTTATGTAAACAATATGCCAACTTAGTAACAACAGATGTTGTCATGATTTGGAATTGAAGTTTGCGAAATTTTGTAATTATGTAAACAATATGCTTGCTTAGCAACAATAGGTGTTATGTAAACAATAAAAACATCAGAATAACGGATATATTCGATTCATTTTAAGTAATTTATTTAAGAAAGTACAATACTAACTGAACGCATTAGTTTTAATTGTAAATCGATTACTATTACTAGGATATATAAAATATGATTTTCTATAAACAAGTATCTATACGCATCTTTTTATCTCTATCTGTTTCATCCATTTATCTAGCCATCACAGTTTAGTCAAAGGAACAACTGTATTATTGAAAGTAACAATTAATCACATTAGTAGACATAACGTATTATTATACTTTGTTTGATAAACAGTTGTTATCGATAATTTTTCAACAAAGAATGCTTATCACTAGGTTATCATAATCAAAAGCTAAAAGAATAGCTCACCTTCGCAACCGTTGCTAGGTAACTGAGAGGATGGTCTTACCGGAGGTGGGGGTGGAGGCAACTGCATGTACAGATACGTTTACTTGAAGACTTATGTTGTGGCACGATGTAACTAACTTAAACTAGAATGAAATTACGCCAAAACAAGATTTCTTACACTGTTCCGTACATCATGCAATGATGTTAAACTGTGTGTTAGGTAGACAGTATGAACGATGAACTTATGTGATTGTAAGAAAAAACAAAATACATTTCTGAAGACAAAAAAAATAAAAAATAATTGGATAGATTTTAGTAAATATTTTCCAATTAAATTATTACTGAGTTGTTCTCCATACAAATAATTAAAACTTCGACAATCAGCTAGAACTCCAAATAAAGAACCAAGCAAACTTACCAGATTACTTATTATAGTCATCCAGGACCTGCAAAGTAAAACAAATGTATTGTGTAAGCATCGTTTTGATATTAAGACTCCAAATGTGGCCTAACCAGTGACCTGTACAATGAAATAATAACCTCTTTAGACTTGTATTCAATATTTCTGTAGATACAACCTAAAATCCTATTTGTCCTACCACTAGCAACAACACACAGCTTGGATGACTTTACAGACTAATCGACTATTACACTAAGATTCCTTTTCTTTATAACACTACTAAGCTTATTCCCATCCAAATTGTACAGGGTATCCGAAGAGTCTGGAACCACAGGTGATTTGCAGCTTTTCTTAATTTCATATATATATATATGACTAATAATGGCGCTGTCAAAGCACGAGCAGGTCGAGTTAATCCTGTTGTTAATCTAAACTTGTTTCGAATTACAAGGACAGCACGTGGAACACATTCTGTAAAATTCGTTGAAGTTCCTATGGTTACAGATCTTTTCGGACACTGTATTAAAAGTAGAAAAACTATTGGTATATTTGTCTTGTTTTTTAAAAATCAATACCTTGTGGTTGTAGAGCACTTGTTTTTACTGTTTCTTTCAACACTTACATTACGTTCTATAACAACTTTTGCTACATTTCAAGAACATGAAGAAATATGTACTGAACCTAATATTTTTTCATTCAAGTGTTAATATATATATTTCTTTATTTTCTACATATTTCGCGCCTGATTTTGTTAGCTTTCCACAAAGCAGTATTACATATTACAAGTCAGTTCAAATTCTTTCTGATTTCATCTACCAATAAAATTTGTTATGGTTATTTAAATGCGCATTAACAACAAAAAGAAAAATTTAAACAAAACTCTTTCAAGTAATTGTTATATTTTTATAACCATGTTTACGGATATCGTTTTAAAAAAGCCAAAATATAGAATAATATCAACAGAGTAGCAGTTACGTATATCAAGTAAACATAAATGCTGAGTGTTCTAATTACAAGCTTCAACGCGATTCAAGTAAACGAGGTTACTATATTTGAGGATAGTATCTGTTCTTCAAGCCATTTACTCACTGACGTCAAAATAACGATTTTCTAACTTAGAAGCAACAAACTCTTCTTAATTCTGTATCAATTTATCTGGTTACTATGGAAACAAGAAGCTTTATACGGCTTTAACATATTGAGAGACTCCTGTCAGTTCAACGCGTTAGTGAGACAAAAAGTTATTTCAAAGGAATAATAAAATATCTGGCTCTCATTCTATAGAACTTTAAACATCTAAATATAGCATTTTTACTTCGAACTGTGCGTCATCCTCATGTCTGATTTGGTGATTTGTTCTCTAACAGCCATCTTAATCATACAGAAGCAAACAATAGATTTTTAAATCACACAGAATATTATGTTTTAATACCTTGCGTATATCTAAGGTTATCCTTCTTTGTCATATTGCGTTAAGCGGATTAGCTGCTTTCTACGTTATGTATTACTTGATATACGGCAATGTGTTTGTATGGTTGTATATCCCGGTTGTCTTATCCCTGACTGTAGCCTTCCACCCACCTCCGAAAACCCAGAAGCGGCGAGAAAGTATGTCTTTCTGTGTTTTCTTTGAAAATCTTGGGTACTATATTGTAGCATTGAGAACACCAGTTCTATTCTTCAAAACTGAGTTTGGAAGATAAAGATAGAATATCTTAAAAGTAAAGCTGTTGCGGAACCAAGAACTTTAGTAACAATCGATTTATTGGACTAAATGTTTTGTAGTTACCACATTCACATGTTACATGTTAACAGGTATTTAACTGTCGTACATATGCAAATATATACGTAGTTGGTTTTTCTCGAACTGAGGTAGTTCGGGCCCATGTGGTATCATGGCGTTATGATTGATCTGACAGGTATTTCGTGGTTGAAACTCCTAGTATTTACCTGGCAGTTATATAAAACTGAAGTGAACTAGTAGTTGTAAAATTACAGATTATATGAATAATAAAGTAGAGAAAACGAACTTTACTGTTTCTCATTAAACAAACTGTTATGAAACACCATTTCTTTGGTTGTTTGATTTCTTGCTAGCTTGTGTACTGTTATACTGTAAAGTTAGAACACGTGTTTAAACACTATTTCTTTGGTTGTTTGATTCCTTGCTAGCTTGTGTACTGTTATACTGTAAAGTTAGAACACGTGTTTAAACACTATTTCTTTGGTTGTTTGATTCCTTGCTAGCTTGTGTGCTGTTATACTGTAAAGTTAGAACACGTGTTTAAACATTATTTCTTTGGTTGTTTGATTCCTTGCTAGCTTGTGTACTGTTATACTGTAAAGTTAGAACACGTGTTTAAACACTATTTCTTTGGTTGTTTGATTTCCTGCTAGCTCGTGTACTGTTATACTGTTAAACTAGAACACGTGTTTAATATTTGCTCTCGTTTGTTGAGAAGTATAGGATTGATTTCACTTCAACCTCACTAAAGCTATCTATGAATTTATCTTATTAGATAATTATTAGATTTTTTTATACAGAAGTGTTTCAGTAGATTTATTCTAGATGCTGAATAGTATGGAAACGACAGTTTACGATTCACGTTAAACCTAAAACAAACAATCAATTCTACAAAATTCAACGAAACTTTCCAAGCCGCAATGGTCCCACAGTGGGTCAGTAGTGAGCTTCTGGACTTACAATGCTAAAATCCGTGGTTCGATTTCTTTCGCTGAACAGAATACAGATAGCTCATTTCGTAGCTTTGCGCTAAACGTAAACAAACATCAAGTGGAAAGTCAAAATATTAACAACATATTACATATTGATTTCATTGGATATGTCAGTGATCATAAATCGCCAAAGTTTGTGATGTTAGTTTCAATCTCAAGACATTAATACATAAAACCTACATTTTACACAGCGTAATTATGCTGTTAAAATCATGCACAATTTTTTTAATGATGAGACACACCACATTTATAATTTTATATTATGGTATATTAGAAATTAGCTTAAAATGGTAATTTACTTTAAACAGATGTGTTATAGTATGCATGGCATGTTCTGTGACATTTTTGCTTACGTATGAACAGTTGCTTGATGCTACCTGCTACATGTTCTCCATGAATAGGACCTTAATACAAATGACAGTGTGTGTTTGTTTATCTGTGCTATCCTCCCTAATTTTGAACTTGTAGATTAGAAGGTAATTAGTCAACAGCACATACTGTCAACTCTTACACTACTGTAATCAAGTAGTGAGATTTGACCATTACTCTTATAACACACCCATGATCCTAAAAAAGCGGAATGCGATTTTCCGACAACGGGACGCAGACGTTGAACCCACAGAATCACTAGTCTACGCTGGGCCCGTGAAGGTAGGCGTAACAGCAAGGTTAATAAATGTTTATATATACACATGAACACATATTATATATAACCTGTTTATTAGTTTGCACTATTGAAGAGGGATTCATTTTCACTGTTTCATATGTTTTACGTTTAAAATTAAAATAATATTCCTAATTATTTAATATTTTATTGGGCAACCGTTACCTAGCTAGATAGGGAGTTTTATCAGGCCACTACAGTCGCTATTTATTGGAAATAAAACCATCGATTGTTCTATTTTTTTGTATCAGTGGAAGAAAATAAATAATTGGCTATTTTATGTAATATATTAACGATTTAACGAATAAAAATAATACATCACACTAAGTGGAATGGTTTTGTATTCGCATTTTCTAATTTACTGAGGGTCGAGGTTGCGGCTCTGTGTAGACATATTGTACAATTTACGAGCAAACGATGCAATTAAAGTTAATGCTACATCCTGCTTCTAATGGTAGAAAATTGAAATTGTTTGGAACCTGCTTCTAACAATTTAGATGACAAACGATCGATAATCCACCTTAATTAATTTTGATAAAGTTTGTCGGTGACTTTAAACTGTGGAGAGAATATTTCTTCTAACTACAAGTGTAGAGCGAGACACGCTTAGGTTAATGTAAGTTCTCAAGTAACTTTTTGAAATTTTAAAGCCCATTATTCGGGTACAAGTTATTCAAGTGAATGTAAGCATATCCATTTTTACCAACTATTTATAGATTACAATTTACCTTGTGAATTTATTGCTATGTCAAGCACGTACTGTGAGGTTGATGTGTTTTGCTCATTATTTTTGAGTAATGTGCACAAAACGATCAATATAGACATCTGAGCTTGAGCATAGAGTACTTTTTAAATAAAATTTAGATATTGTTTTATTTGTTTTAGAATTTTTGCGCTAAGTTACACAAAGGAATATCTACGTATATCCCAAATTTTAAACTGATAGATTAGATCGAAGGCACTTAGCCAACAGCATCTGCCGCCAACTTTCGAGCTATTCTTGTCTGAGCAAATAATTGGATTTGACCGTCGCTTTTATAGCACATCTACTGTTCCGAAGTGAAGAGTGTGACTTTGCTCCAACAGTAAATCCCCGAATTCATAGTTCGTGCACATTAACAAGTTGGCCACACCCGACCCGTTTTCTTGTCGACCGCTGATGTCATGTTATGTATTGGAAGTTTCATTAAATAACGATCTCTTCCAAATTAAAGTTATGATTCTCAGCAATTTCAAAATATTCAAAACTAATCATTATAATTAGGTAAATATAAAGTCAACAGATATATATATGCTTTTTCCCCAATGTTTCTTATGAGTTTGAAAACCCTAAGCTGAGCTGAATATTGCTTAGTATAACTATGCATTGGGTTCTATATTGTACTGTTACTGTGTTGTAACGGAGTTTTACGGTTATAATTTTCTATCTAAATCTGTTTTCAGATTAAAGTACGTGTACATGTCAAATCACTGTGAAACATTCCAGTAATGCAAGACATTTTCTGTTGTCTTTCAAAACTTGTAGTGCATACTGGAGAGATTTACACATCTGGATAAAAAGGTTAGAAAAAAAAACGACTTTTGCACTCCAGGTAATTATAAAAGAACATTTTATCTTAACCAACGTTTCGCCTGGAGGCGGTAAAGATTACCAGTAACTTCCACTAGACTGTACTTGTGTATTCTTGAAAATAACGTGTAGTAATAGTTTCTTATTCCTAATCATTTAAAAATCTCATGCTCTATGCATTGTTTGTTTGTTTATTTTAGCGAAAGTGGGCTATCTGCGATCTGTCTACCGAGGGTCCTCGAGCCACGGATTTCACCGTAGTAAGCCCGTAAACTTGCCGCTAACCCACCGGATGATATGTGTATTGATAAACCAAAGCATGTAAATGTTTAAGGTTACACGTGTTTAACCAGGTGTGATATCTGTGGGGTTAGAAATAAAAACATTTTTATAGAGAAGCATTTTTTGTCAGATCGTATTATGTTTTTCTTGTCATAAGACATCAGTATTAGGAGTATTACGTTTCTAAAACTACATTCTTAATATAGTCTTAATAAAATACAGATTTTCAAGAATTAGAAGAGTGTATAATAATAATAGTATTTCAACCACGCTATATCTATCATACTCAATGCCGACGACGAGTTTCGCTCAATCCAGAGCTCTTCAGGTCGTCTGGAATACAAGAAACACAGCAGTGGTAGGAACACTATTTATATTAGTCATTTGATACAACAACTATTGTTATGGCGAAGAATGATTACAATTGTACTTGTCACAAGTCTTTGGGTCAGAAGAGTCAACTCACACATCTATCACGGCATGTCTATCATGAAGATAAAAATGTGAGGTTAAGTTTGGTAACTCGTGTGTCTCACAACAGGCTCGGTTCTTGATGGACTTGGGATGTTAATTAAAGGTCAATTTCGCGCTCTGGTAGAGAGAGAGCTAAAGTAAAGAGGCGTCCAACTTTATCTTTAGTTTTATCCCCATTCGCAATGTCTAATGTCGTGATAAACATTTCATTCCAGTAAAGATGTAATGTTAGCCATCGGTTTTCAACAGGTAACAACATTAACAAATGTAATGTTAGCTATCGGTTTTCAACAGGTAACAACATTAACAAATGTAATGTTAGCCATCGGTTTTAATCAGGTAACAACATTAACGGCCGCACATTTATATGTGTAATAAGTTGAAAATCACTTTTTTAGAGTTTCTGTTTCATTGTTTAATAAAGTCACGATAAAAATGTAATCAGTTTTTTAAAGTACTGAATAAGTCGAAACGACAAAGCGCAAAGTGAAGTAAAAAAGAAAATAAAGTGTTATATTATGGATATAAGTCGTTTAAATTAATTTCAGATAAGAGTAACTCTCCAGTACATGTTACGAACATTATAATGTACAATTGTTTAAATATTTCAATTTGTTCGAATTTTCTGGCTTTCGAAAGAAATAATATTGATATAGCAAACTGGAAAACTTAATGATAATTCTTATGGTTAAATTGAATAATTTTTTGTGTGTGACCAGCTGCTCTTAATGACTCCAGCTTGAGAAAACCTCAAGCAGTTTTTTCTATATAATATATGAAACATATTGGCGGTGAAACTATTGTGATTACTTGAATAAACTCACACACACACACATAATTATAAAAACTGCACGTCATTGACACCGTTAAACGTCAAGGTAGCTGTTTGTGTCCAACAGTTACACCTTCATTGATTTAAATTTCAGGTAAAAGATACATTACTTGATTATGTGTTTATGTGCTTTGATATTATATTTTTCTTTGCTACTATAGTTATCAACGTTTTAGTGTCAAAAATAACTTTTTTCCGCCTTTAAATATATAATTCAGACAAAACAAAAAGAATTCTGGTTAGTTGACAAGATATATTGATAGCCATGTGTGGCAGACAATTGCCAACGTTCAAACCAGAAATTACCGAATCGGTAGAAGACGGCTGCAGAAAGTTGAGATTTTAAGGTAAGTCATTTTGATTGAAATTAGTCGAACTGTAGAATCATTTTAAAAATATAATGTTGGTGTTTTAACTTCAAGACTTGAATAAACCATAAGTTTATGAAAAATTGGATGCGCGAACAGAACTTTATAATTACAACGAAGTCAATCTTCAGTTACTCACATTACATCCTCTTCACTTTCACAGAGAAACCAGTACACCGTATCTTTTTCTCTGGTTCCAAACGCTATCAGCTGAGAGGTTTTGAATCCATTTGGGAGGATAGGTCTTTTTGGAACTCGAGCTGTGAAATGACCATAAGCCATTAGGTCAGGTGCGTTTTTAATGATGACACTTCCTTCTGGTTCCATCTTCCCCTTGTCTTTAAACCACATGATAGTGCTGTCACTGAAGAGTACAACGTATTCTTCTCTCCAGTCTTTGCCAAAAATACGCTCTAAAATAACAAAAAATACAACTAAGTCAGAACTTACATAGTTCTATAAACTGTCTCTAGAGAGCCTAAGGTATTCTTCCCGCCAGTCTGAAAAAAAAAAGAAATAAAGAAAAGAAAAATGGTATGCTCTAAAATAACAAAAATCACGAACAAGTCAATTACACAGCACTATAAACTGCTGTTGGAGAGAATTTATTTCTTTTCCCTTCCAGCTTTATAAAAATATCCACACTGTATGCTTATAATACAGAGGATTACTAAACAATATTTTTTTCAGTTTGATCAACATTGGTCAACTCCTAGAGGATAAATTCGTATGTTAGGAAAACATGTGCTTCAAAAAACAATTAAAGATAAAAATACGAAACCATATAACCTGAGAGCTTTCGAGAGGTGGACCTTTCTTAACGGAGTAGATATTATATGTAAAAGTAAGTTATTGGTCTCGATTTTTCAAGGTTTGAACTGAAACAAAAAAGTATTACAGCAACTGCTAATCTAACGATAATTCTGGAAAGTATTGTAGTTTCAGTTTGTAAAAAGGTGGCACCTTTACTTTAAGTGTGGTTCTCATTAGTTAAGGTGAATACCATGAAAAACGCAGTTGCTTAATGAAGAAATTATTTAAATTGCAGCTTCTATGAGTTTGACGGGGACCATTTTATTCCATTTTAAGGTCCGTTTTATCCAAACTTATAGGTAGAAAGGCCCCCAACCAAAATAAGTGCATTTTTTTCAATAGCTAAAAAAATAACGACCTATGAACCAATCTTTATTTTATCTAGAAATGACATTTATAGTAAAAAGGGCATTTCAAAACTTTAAAGCACTTAAATGATTCCAACAGGGATTAGTAAAGGTTTTCCGCCATGTGCGCAAGTCACGTATTATCTAAAACAATGCTACAAAACAGCGTGAGCATTATTGTGGAGGTAAGACGTCATTGCGGGGCCGTTTTACCCTAAGCCAACCATCGTATATCAATAATATCACGTTATAAAAAAAAACCGTGAACTTGAACTGTGTTTCTTTTACGGTGTATTCGATTGTCTATCATTCTTCATTGTTTTAAATCAGTAAAGTGAAGTTCCCTGAAATACCTTCTCTGTAATCATAAAAATGTCAAAGTCTAACCTTATATCAATTTTGTTGGGAAACAGAAAATTTCATTCGCGCTTTGATCGTTCACATTCGCACCTGTCCAGTGTATCTGGGCACGGAATCACGTGAACAATAGTTACATATAAATCACTCTAGATGGCAGTACATCATAATAATCGTTTCACTGAGGGGGATCGTCTTATGTCACGTTCCCTTATATATATATATATATATTCAATAGCTTTAGTTAATTATGAGCGAAATATGAGCGGTTAATTTTGTTTCTAGCTCTATTTCAATAAATGAAACAACTTAAATCAACATGCGATTATTAGAGCATTATAGTAATTATAAATAATTATAGAAAAATAGTAATTATAAAAGTTACTATAGCAACCATAAGAAGAAAAAAGGTCAAAGATGTTATGCATTCTTAGTTATCGGTTATTGTAGCAGCCTCGCAAAAATATAGTGTTAGTCATCCTCAAAATAACTACAACAACCGGGAAAACACGCCATCTTACGTTGCTTTAGTAAAACCGGAAAAAAAAAGTTCTCAATTATTGTCAAAGTAACTACTGTTATTGAAAGCAAAAACAAAAACAATGTTTTAGTTATCTCGACGCAGCAAATAAATTGATGTGAACAAATCTGAAAACTTTAGATATTTCAAAGAGGCCACTACACTGATCTTTAATAGATTCCATTTCCACCAAAGTACCGAAATATGTTGATGATGTCACTGTTCAAAGCTTTTTATCATGTGTTGAGTAAGAAATACAGAAGAGTTCCCTATGGAACGCAACAAATTATATTTGATTTTTTATCTATTGGCAACAGAATCTTCGAATTATATGGCCAACTCTTGTAATCTATAACGATTATACCAAACGAAACTCTCTTCTGAGTTTCAATTGAAATTGTTTTTGTTTTCTCATGAGAAAATATTATTATTCCCTAATTCCAATTTTCTTATTAAAGCTTTTTTGATAGCTAAAATTTTCCAATTTATATATCTTTAATTCTGTTCATAAACTATGTAAAGAAGGCCGAAGTTCAGTTTTGGTTTATAGGTCGAGGTCACTAGGAAAAGAGTCCCAAGTGACATAATAGTATTCTGCGGACTTACACTGCTAGAAGCCGGGTTGTGGGCAGAGCACAGATAGCCCTTTGTGTAGCTTTGTGCTTGATAACAAACAAGGAAAAGATAAATATTGCAAAGGTACATTTTTGAAACGATTCTACAGAAATCATTTGCATGTTGATTATAGGTCAAGGATCAAAGTCCTATGTTCACATCGAAGCTCAGGTCATAAAAAATACAGTTTCTTAATTGCAAAGGATTTAAATAATAAATGCCTTTACTGCTTTAAGTAAAACTGTTTAACCTAAGGAAACTTATATTGTTTATTATACCTTTCTAAAGCTGTGACGTTGCCTCTGCTAGTTTGATTAAAAGATGGATACTCATCATTTTCTAGCTTACTGTGTTTCTTTTAGGCATTTAATCTAAGCATTTTCACTAAATTCGTTGCTGTATCACGTTACTAGAATAGTGGAGAACACAACACACAATGTTTGATACCAAGCATTTAAAATCGGAACATTCACATTTTTATAAAGATACACTGTAATTATTTTTAACCGTCTTTACAACAACTAGAATTAATTTGTTTACTTTGCATTTTTTATTCCATGTTAAACTGAAATCAGAACAGACACTAATCATTTGTGTCAAGTTCTAACCGTCAGGTGATTTAACTTAATATTAATCTTTACCAGACTAAATCTTATATAGCGGAAATAAAAAAACAAACCATTTTCATCATTTTTAATTAGGCATAAGTAATTCATGATCATATAATTTAGTTTCTTCTTACTGTTAAAAGACTGAAAAGTAATAGGTATCAATTTTTAATTCCATAAAACTTTTTTGTGCCAAGTACACTGAGTTGCTAAGATTTTTCACAAATATTATTCAGTGATTTAAAAAAAATTATGCTCAATATCAAGATTATATTATTCTTAAGTTTAGTTTTTTTCTAATTTCTTGTAATATTCTCTCCTCAGCTTTCTCTTTTTCCTTGTAAAACAACAACAAACATTAAGAAGGTCACTATTAGATATTATTAGTTAACATTAGGCAATAACGAAGTCGGCATGACAAAAACATGTTTTAGTATTGTTCTTTTATTTTAATAAGATGAATATTTTTTGTTTTTTATTAGCCTTATTTTTACACGTATTATTAATGTTTGTCTTACCAGACACAGTAATCATTCCATTAACAGAAGAAAAAAGTAAATCGTTTCTCTTAACATAACTACAAAACATCAAAGAACATATGCCAGCATTTTGTGAAAAGGTTTTGCTTTAACAATCAAGTATTGACATCGACGAGATGCATTGTTAAAGCTCCAACAAGAATACTGTAAAGGTTAAAGCCTTGAAAACTGGTGGCGTGAATATAAAACATGCTAATATTGTAATGTATAAAATTACTTCAATCATCATGAATGAGAACAACCGATTTCACAAAGACAGGTTAGTGTTATAGGGATAAATTATACGGGTATATCTAGTTAAATAACACGTTTTCAATGTATAACGTTTTGTTTTATCGGTTTTGTCAGGAGAACACGGCTGCATTACAGTAAAGTCTGGAATAAGCTTAAAATAAATAGCCAAGAAAAATATATAGTCATAACCAAGGGTGTTTGGTACAAAGAGACACAAATGTCAGTCCAAACCATGTTTGGAAAATTACCTTGAAATCGTTCTCAACCTGAACTTTTGATGTTCCTCTTTTATATTATCTTTTTAAATACAATTCTTAGTTTACTATTATTGACTATTTTACGCAATTAAGTTGGATTTGGGCCATTAACTAACATTTCGGGCTGCTGATTAGAAGATCCGATGTTCGCGCCAGGATGTATTTGAATAAGCCTCTCACTTTCAACTGTGGGTGCGTTACAAGTGACAATCAACTCTATTATTCGGTTCATAGTGGGACAAAGCCCTTGTGGCGGCATGTTCTGCTGACTGGCTGCCATCTCTCTGGTCGGTAGTTCTAAACTAGGGGACAGTGGTAACTGAACTCTAGGGGTCTAAGACCTGGTCCCTATGTGCGCATAATGTGCCATTCAGACTAAATATGCCAATATCATTATATTTTATGCATTAAGACGTTAAAAAATATTACTGTTTAGAGTATGTTTGAAATTCCTTTAGTGCCTAGCGTTTTCTATAACTTCAGTAAATTCAACTCATACACAGATATTTTTGAAACTGCTGTAACTAGTTTTCATTAACCTTTTTAAATTTCAAAAAACGCTTCGGGTTTGTACTGTTTAGATTTTCACTTTAGATATGTGATATTTTGTCTTTTTATCTTATTAAACCATATCTTATCGAAATTACATTACTGTATTTATCAGTTTATTTAAACAACTTTTACTAGAAATCAAAAAATATTTTTTGGGGGAAAAAAACTATAGTTTCCGTCTGGAAATAGCTCGGTATAATTCAGAAAAATTATTATAATCAATATAAAACCATACGTTATTATTAGAATACTTACTGCTAAAAATATTGTTACTAAGTAATCAAAAAGGAACTAGAGAAGCTGTAAATCTAAAAATTTATAAATTTTGTACAGAGGTTCTAACAACAACACGTTTAGTTCACTACGGG